AGGGGAAGTAAGAGAGGGAGAAGCAGTCTTCCCACCGAGCAGGGAGCCTGATGTGGGGCTCGATTCCAGGACCCTGGGATCACGACCTGAGCCGAAGGCAGATGCTTAATGACTGAACCACCCAGGCGCCCCAGCTTTGGGAAATTCTTAAAATACCCATAGATATAAAGCTACATTTTATTTTTTTTTTAAGATTTTATTTATTTATTTGACAGAAGGAGAGATAGCAAGAGAGGAAACACAAGCAAGGGGAGTGGGAGAGGGGGACAAGCAGGCCTCCCGCCGAGCAGGGAGCCCGATGCGGGGCTTGATCCCAGGACCCTGGGGTTATGACCTGAGCGGCAGGCAGACGCTTAACGACTGAGCCACCCAGGTGTCCGTAAAGCTACATTTTAAGTGAGATAAGTTTGCATTGCAAGTTAGCATACATCATCAGCAGCTATCATTAAACTGCCTACTGTAGGGAAAATTAGTGTACAGTTGACCTTTGTTTTCTGTTTTGTTTTTTAAAGATTTTATTTATTTGTCAGAGTGAGAGAGAGAAAGCACAAGCAGAGGGAGAAGCAGGCTCCCTGAGGGAGCCTGACATGGGACTTGATCCCAGGACCCCGGGATCATGACCTGAGCCGAAGGCAGACGCTTAACCGACTGAGTCACCCAGGCATCCCAACAGTTGACCTTTGAACAACGCAGGGGTTAGGAGCACCAACCCCTATGCATTTGAAAATCCACATACAACTTCTGACTGCCTAAAAACTCAACTACTAACACCCTACTACTGACCAGAGCCTTATCAATAATGTAAATAGTCGATTAACATATTTTGTATGTTCTATGTGTTAAGCTGTGTTCTTGAAGGGAAGCTGGAGAAAAGAATCATGAGAAGATACGTTTACAGAATTGGACTGTGTGTATAAGAAAAAAAAATCCATGTTTTTTAAATTTTTTTTTTAAAGATTTTATTTATTTATTTGAGAGAGAATGAGAGATAGAGAGCATGAGAGGGAAGAGGGTCAGAGGGAGAAGCAGACTCCCCGCCAAGCAGGGAGCCCGATGTGGGACTCAATCCCGGGACTCCAGGATCATGACCTGAGCTGAAGGCAGTCGCTTAACCAACTGAGCCACCCAGGCGCCCAAAAAAATCCATGTTATAAGTGGACCGGTGCAGTTCAAATTTGTGCTGTTCAGGGGTCAACTACTTCTGATTTCAAGGGTCACTTTGCTTCTTTTTGAATTCTCAACAAATATATGTGATCTATCGGTCAATTCACTGAACATCCAGGAAAGAAAGAATACCAAATTAAATGCTCCTTTTCTTACAATATTGATTAATGCTTAAAATATTTTTGACTTCAGCTTTTGTGGTGCTAGTCTCATTTGTCTGCCTTTGTGACCTTCTGTTTTCTCTTTTTACCAGCTTTTAACGATAATGTCAGTTGAGACTCTGTAAGCCTTTATTTTCTTTCTTTTTTTTTTTTTAAGATTTTATTTATTTGAGAGAGAGAGAAAGAGAGAGCACATGAGAGGGGGGAGGGTCAGAGGGAGAAGCAGACTCCCTGCAGAGCCGGGAGCCTGATACGGGACTCGATCCAGGGACTCCAGGATCATGACCTGAGCCAAACGCTTAACCAACTGAGCCACCCAGGCGCCCTAAGCCTTTATTTTCTTATGTTATACTTGTTCATTTGGGGGTTCATCTACATTGATTTCAGCTATCCCCATGTGAAATTTCTGGAACCAGATCTTTAGTCCCAATATAGTTTCTTAAAGAAAATAACCAACTATCCCCACACGAGATCTTTCAAAAAATGGGTGGCCTTTTTAAAGTTATTTCTCATTACCATCTGATTTCCCTGCTCAAAATACGGGAGATTTTATTCCGCTCAGATTTGCCTGCACATCTGATCTACCCTCAGAAGTAGTTTGCTTGCCAATGGTTTATTCACTCCAGATTCTGCCTTTGCTCGGGCCACACCTCCAACTTAGCAGTCCTTGTCCTCTTTGCGAAGCTAATTCAAATCTTGTATCATGTGAAGTCTTCCTTGGCTGACCTTATCTGCTTATTTATTCGCATTCTGATCACCCACACTAGTACTGGTCAGCACTCAGACGCTGAGCCGAGTTTTTGGGTTATTAGAAGATATCTCCATCCTAGTAGTTAGTTGATTCAGTGCAGCAAAATGCTGGTATAATAATAAAATAATTAGACAGTACCCGGGAAACTTACGATAACATTTGACCTTAATTTTTTCTCAGTAAATTTATTGCTGCTAAAAAATTATTTCTATTATTTTGTCTCAGAAATTGTCAAAGAGGTTGCAGAGTCCACAATGACAAGACGTGTTTCCTACCAGATTGTGTTAGAAGGCGCTTCACCTCAAATAGTTCTGGCAACAACCAAAAAAATTGCTTTTATAGCCCTCAATTTTTATCCCCCAGAAGTGCTGCTTTCAAGTCTTTGGGCTGATACTATTTTGATATTATCTGTTGACTTTCTACTGTGAAAGATGAGAATTGAGCCTGCTGTATTCCCCCTCATCACAAATACAGACGCTCTCCTCCTTCCCCCAATAACATAAAGTGGTTTTTTCCCCCCTCACATAAAGTTTCAGTACCGTATCGGGACAATGTATTTATTTAGGAATGGGGCACTGGTTCTTCAAGTTTAGTCTAGGTCTCCCAGAGTGGTTCCCAAGACCCTTTCAGGGAGTCTGTAAGATCTAAAGTATTTCCATTATAGTTCTAAGTTGCTATTTCTGCCTTTCACAAGTGGATAGTGGAGCTTTCCAGGAGCCCTGTGACATGTGATGATGTCAGCACACCGACAGCTCATGAAATGTCTGCTTGTGTGTTATGTTTTCTAGAACTTTCTAAGGTAATACTTAAGTAGACTGAATGCAGAAGCAGATATGGCCGTCCATTTGTGTTCTATAAAACTACATATCAAAGAGATTTGCAAAAATGTAACTCTTAAGTATTTTTAGAAGAGTTATTTTTCCTTTAAAAGTTATTTATGTTTTTGTTTTTTTTTTAATATTTTATTTATTTATTTGACAGAGAGAGACACAGCGAGAGAGGGAACACAAGCAGGGGGAGTGGGAGTGGGAGAAACAGGCTTCCCGCCTGAGCAGGGAGCCCGATGCGGGGCTCGATCCCGGCACTCCGGGATCACGACCTGAGCTGAAGGCAGACGCTCAACGACTGAGCCACCCAGGCGCTTGGGCACCTGGCTGGCTCAGGCAGAGGAGTGTGCAACTCTAACCCTTGATTTCGGGGTCATGGGTTTGAACCCCACGATGGGTGTAGTGATTACTATAAAGCATAAATAAACTTTACAAATTATTGATGTTGATATGTATTGGTTTTGTTATTTTTTAATAGACATTGAGCATATGTTGACAACTGGTTTGGTTTAGTTAAAAATAGATCCCACCAGGGGCACCTGGGTGGCTCAGTCGTTAGGCGTCTGCCTTCGGCTCAGGTCATGGTCCCGGGGTCCTGGGATCGAGCCCCGCATCGGGCTCTCTGCTCTGAGAGAAGCCTGCTTCTCTCCCTCTCCCACTCCCCCTGCTTGTGTTCCCTCCCTCACTGTGTCTCTCTCTGTCAAATAAATCTTTAAAAAAAAAAAAAAATTGATCCCACCAAATTCTAAAATATCATTTATTAGGAATTACTCTTAGTTTCATTACTTAAAGTTTGCTATGTTTTTATTTATTTTCAACTGGAAAAGAAGTGTTTTCCTTGATACCTTTCATTTGGCATGCTATGATTTAGGAAGTACATAGTATTTAATACTAGAGTATTACAACCTTCGTTAGCTTCAATCCAGTTTGCCAGAATTTACGTCTGTGTATTCTCAGGAGAAAGCAGACATATCAAGAGTTTCATCAACATTTCAATTTCAGCAAGTATTTGTCAAGCGTTTGTGCTTGGGTGCTATGAGAGATAGAAGCATATGACAACCACCGCCTAATCACCTTGGCCTTGATCTAGAGTTTCTCAATGTCTTGCACTTTCAACATCCACACCTGTACAGTGAGAACTAACATTCAAGTTGATTCCTCTGAGTCACTGCAAAATTCTCAGGGATCAAAGAACAAACGTATTTTGTGCACTGGGTTTCATTAAGATAAAAAAGATGCTGGCATGTCTCAGAAATAGAGCACCTATGGAACAAAGTGTTCCAGTTAGTACTAAGTTAAACCATTTATTTAACATAATTTTTACAGAGCACTTTAGGGTTTATCAGAGTGATTTTAGGGTGTGTTGTTTCTTTTAATCCTAATGATGTCCCTATTAATTAGATACTATGCACAGTATACAGAAGGCTGACTCAGTCTTTCAGGTAGCTGACTTGCTTAAGAATGTATAAAAGTTAGGTTCAAATTCAGGTGTTCTGACTTATGATCCTGTGCTCTTACTGTATAAAAACATACTATTCCTTAAAGATTCAAAATAGTTGAGATTCTACATATGTTAAAATATTTTATATTATGGAGGATATGACAGTGTCTAGTATAGAGTAACTCTCTGTAGTTAACCCTGACTAGAGAATTCTCATTCTGATTATAGATCATATAAACTTTATGAGAGGTTGAGCTTAAGTTTGAATGCACATTTTGAGCTAATGGAGAATTTTCTTTATTCAAACCATTAAAACCCTTTTGAATATATTGTTTTACTGATCTTCAGGACTACATTTTCTGACCACAGTAGTGGGGTACATTCAGAACATTCAGCCAATATCTAAAATAAAGGTAAAGTATTCCTTGCCTACACATAGTATTAATTTCTTAAGGTAATGCTTCAAGAGTCATAAAGCATGAGGGGTTCACCTCACATATATAGACATATTCCATATGTACAGATGTAGAGGTTCAGACAGCAAACTGGGCAACAGTACTGACACAGAACTTTCCTCTAACAGGAGTCTAAGTTAACTGTTACTTATTTGGGTTTTACCTATTAAAATTCTTCCTTCTCCTCCTTTTTCCCTGTAGGTTTGTAAAAGAATGGACTTGGTCTGCCAGAGAATGTTGAATCAGGGATTTCTAAAAGTGGAGAGATACCACAATCTATGTCAGAAACAAGTTAAAGCACAACTTCCAAGGTATGTTGTGGCTAGTGGTGGCAATAATTTACAATGGGAATTTTCTTTGTTTCTTGGTTGTTTTTTTTTTCTTTTTTTTTTTAAGCAATGGCTATAGCCAACATGGGGCACCTCTATTGTTTTGAGTTTTGTTTTTTGATTTGGGTAAGTGTACATATTAAATGGTTTCCAGCTTTTTAGAGGGAAGGGTACCCAGATCACAATAAGTGATTTTGACTATGGTTCGCCCATTCTCACCATTTCTATTCAATATTATACCAGAGTTTCTAGCCAGGGCAGTTAAGCAAGAAAAGGAAATAAAAGGCTTCCAGATTGGAAAGGAAGAGTTTGTGTTCTCTCTTCATAGATGACAAGATCTCATATATATGTGGTTGTATACACAAGGAGTCCTCTAATTGTTAGAGCTCATAAATAAGCTCCATAGGGATACAGGATGCAAGATCAATAGACAAAAAGGAGTTGTGTAATTGTATATACTAACAATAAATGATCCAAAAGCAGGTTAGGGCAATTCCAGGGTGCAGGGATGGGCAGGGTGGGTAAAGGGGAGTAGGAGGTGCAGGCCTCCAGGGATGGAGTGAAGAAATCACGGGGATGAAAAGTACCGCATAGGGAATCTAGTCCGTGGTAGTATAATCACATTGTGTGGCGACAGATGGCAGCTACACTGGGGTGAGCAGGGCATAAGCTAGAGATGCTGACTGCGTTGCACACCTGAAACTAATATAGCATGGTGCGTCAGCTACACTCAAAAGGGGGGGGCGGGGGCCTGGCTGGCTCAGCCACAAGAACATGTGATTCTTGATCTCGGGGTCATGAGTTCAAGCTCCATGTTAGGCATAGAGCTTACTTAAAAAAAAAAGACCATCCCTTTTATAGTACCATCAAAAAGAATAAGGTGCTTAGTAGTGACGATAACAGAAGAGGATTTGTCTGCTGAAAACTACAGAACATTGGTAAAAGAAATTTAAGGAGACTTCAGTGGAAAGACATTTCATGGGCATGGATTGGAAGACTTTTTGCTCTGAAAGTGGCAATTCTCCCCAAGTCGATGTGCACATTCAGTGCAATCCCTGTCAGAATCCTAGCTGTGGTTTTTGTGGAAAATGACAGGCCCACCCTACGATGCCTGTGGATATACAAAAGACTCAGAATAATCAAAACAGTCTTGAAAAAGAGCAACAAAGTTGGTAGGGTACTACCACCTTCCGATATCAAAACTGCAGAGCTGCTGTAATTGAACCAGCGTGGTGCGGACATGAAGACAGACGTGTAGACCGATGAATAGAACGGAGAGTGTGGACAAGAAATCCTTACATATTTAGTCAGTTGATTTTCAACCAGGATGCCAATAACTCACTGGGGAAAGAATGATGCTTTCCACCAGTGACACTGGGATAGCTGGGTATCTGTATGCGAAAGAATGAAGTTGGGCTCCCTCCTCATTCCATCCACAAAAATTAACTCAAAGTAGACTATATAGATCAAAGGTGAGCGTCAGGGCTATACTGTAAACCCTCACGTGGAAACAGTACTGACCTCCATGAACTTGGATTAGGCAGTGGTTTCTTGGCTATGACACCAAAAGCACGAGTAACAAAAGAAAAGAGTAGGCAGACTAGACTTCCTCAGAATTTAAACTTCTGTGCCACCAAGGATGACATCAAGATGGCAAAGGGACACCACACACAAGGGGAGAAAATAGTTACAGCTCCAATATCCAGTGAGGGACCTGGATCTAGATTGTGTGAGGAACTCTTAGAACTCAACAATAAAAAGACACAGAGCCAGGTTTAAGGGTGGGCAAAGACATTTCTCCAAAGAAGAGAAACTGAAGGCCAGCAAGCACATACAGAATGCTCAACATCCACGATCCCCGGGGTGTTGCAGATCAAAACACTGAGATAGCACTGAACACCCACTAGGGTGGCCAGAGTAAAGAAGTCGTCTTGGGAAAGATGTGGGCAAATCGGAACCATCATAAATTACTGGTGGGATTGTATAGTGGTTCTGCCACTTTAGAAAACACTTTGTTCCTCAAAAGGCTAAACGTAGAATTACCAAATGATCCAGCAATTTCACTCCTAGGTGTATAGCAAAATAAGTGGAAATACAGCCATACAAAAAACTTGGACATGAGTGTTCTATGCATCATTATTCATAATAGCCAGAAAGTGGAAACAGCCCAGAAGTCATCACCTGATGATCGGATCATCAGAATACTGCTATGTCTATATGACAGAATGTCAGTGGGCAGTAGAGTGGAGTCCTTGACACATGCTCCAACATGGATGAGCCTTGAGAGCTGTGCTCTGTGAAAGAAGACGGACACGAAATGCCACATACCATACGACTCCAGTTACTTGCCGTGTCCAGAAGGGGCAGATCCCTAGAAACAGAAAGTACACTAGTGGTTGCCAAGCACTGGGGAATGAGAGTGACTGATAATAGTTATGGGCTTTCATTGCGTGGTTGTGAAAATGTTTAGAAATTAAATGGTGGTAGTGGGTGCACAACTCCGTATGTACTAAAAAACGAAGTTATTTATACACATTAAAAGTGAATTTTATATGTGAATTATTTCTCAATAAAACTTTAAGAGTTTAAATGAGCTAGGGGTGCCTGGGTGGCTCAGTCAGTTAAGCCACTGACTCGGTTTCGGCTCAGGTCATGATCTCAGGGTCATGAGATCCAGTCACACATCAGGCTCCCCACTCAGTGCAGAGTCTGCTTGAGACTGTCTCTCCCTCTCTCTGCCCCTAGCCCCACTCTCTGTCTCTCTTTCTCTCTCTAAAGTAAATAAATCTTCAAAAAAATTTTTTAACTAAAACTTTAAGTGAGCTGATTTTATGGGCATACAGTCCCTTATCCACATGTCCTTGTGTAATTCTTTCATTTCTCTTTTCTTTTTGATTCATATGGCCATTAGGCTTGATACAGCCAAAAAACAGGAAAAAAAAAACAACCTGATCCACCCCCCCCCGCCCCCAGCCATTGATTAATTAGTACTAGTCCTTGGCAGGAATTTCTGGACATAGCGATTCATTGATGGTTACAGTTAAATTATGACCCAATCATAGGTATCAAATTAACAGGTAAATGTTAAACTGTTAGAAATCCCATTAAGGCATTTTCACTCCTTACCATTTAGTTCACAATATTTCCTTCATGCTTGCTTTTTTTCTTACTCTAGGAGGGAGTCGGAAAGAAGAAACCACTCGTTAGCTCGTCACGCGGACATCCTTGCTGCTGTGGAAACAAGGCTCTCACTGTTAAACATGACTTTCATGAAATATGTGGATTCCAATCTCTGTTGCTTCATCCCAGGAAAGGTAAAATAGAACCGCTTACCCAAAACAGCTGGATTGTGCTGCTTAAACTTAAATTATTATAAAGCGATTGTTTAAATGTCAGAATTGTACCCGCCTTTGTGGAATGAGTTCCTGTGAATGGATTTGTTTAGCTCCTGTACAGTAACTGATATAAATCCATGTCATACTTGATCTTCATGTTTAAATGAAACACACAGTAGAAGCTCTGCTGTTCTTTAGAAAAGCTTGTTAGGAATTCATCCTCACCTCCAGTTAACAAACTATTTCCATAAATAGGAAGAAATAACAGAGTTCCTGCTGAAAAACACATTTGTGGGCTTTTGCTCTTTGTTTAAGATCGACAGCAAACGAGATGGGTACTGTCCCTGCCTTCAAGATTGTTCTCATTTGGGGGAGATGGAGTGGGAGGGACAAGCTGGTTTTCGTTTTGTGTGAGAAACGTTTCATAAAGACAGATACTTCCAGATTCGGCAAGAATTGACAGTTACTGGGTAGCAGCACAGAAATAGTGCTGTTGAACACAGAAGTCAGTCTGTCCTGGCGTATTTACTGTCCCCAAGTTCACAAAAGCTCCAGCACTCTACATGCTACTCAGGATACTACCTCAGTGCATGTGGTATCTTGCTTCTTGAATTGAGAGTAAATTCAGATGAAATCTGCATTGTATTTAGAAGAGGCAGAGATGGATTGAAAGGTCCTTCTGCTGCTTAGTCGATACTAGCAAGAGTCCCTTAACATGGTCAGGACTAGTCAGTTCTGGAAAAACCAGAATGTTCTCTTTTTGTTATTTCTGTAGATACTTAACAGTGGCAATATTTTATATATACTTCCTCCATTTTCAGTTTTCTGTGATGTTTATGGGGAGGGGGATCCTGTTTCTTATTTTATTTGAAATATTCTTTAGTATACCTCACTTTCCTCCTGTTAGCTACACATTCTTCTGTGGGGTACTTAACTGTAAAAGGCAATTCTCATTCTTACTCCAGATTGCATGCAGATCTAACGTATAGGCCTCATCTCTCGTGTTCCTGGGAAGTTCATGGAACTAGTGTAGGTTGTCCCCTACAGCCTCATGGTTTTTGTCGCATATCTCATTGTTAGGAATGTGAATACATAAGAAACATCTTACAGTTTTCATAACCTCAGAAACACTTCAGCCAGTCGTTACGAACCAGAGTGGAGTAATGTGTGCTCAGTCCACATGGCCCACGGAGCCTGAGGTGCTTAGTACCTGGCCTTTACAGAAGGGGCTGATCTTTCTGGGTGATCAGGATCGCGTGATTGCAGTGCTGGTCTTGACTATCTGAACAAATAAATCCCATTGAGTCCTGCTGTTTTTTTTGCAAGTTTCTGACTTTTCACGTTAATTTTAGGACCAAAATAACAAAACCGAGGTGCCATGGAGAAGTCTTAAGTTGTCAAGGTGCAGCAGCCCCCGCCGCCCCGGGCCTCACCTCAGGACAGCTCCTCACTGCAGCCCCTCCTGTGCTCTCAGTGCCCTCAGTGGCAGAGCCGTGGGGAAGGAATTTCGTGCCCAGCCTCACCTGTAACGCACACCTGTACCTGTCCCTCTCCCTCGTCACTGCTATCTTCTTAGTTGCATGAAATACTTCTTCTAATCCTCAGAGCACGTTCATGTTCACTGACTCCTTTGCTTTCCACATGGCCATGGAAGGTCGAGTCCTGTTCCCTTGGTAAGAAAACTGAGGCTCAGCAGCAGATGGGTTTGACAGAAGTTTTGCACCAGCCTGCTGATTTTTCCTTAATAGTACCTGTGTCTTCACAAAAACTCACCCGAAGTTTTCTCCTGTAAACCTAAAAAACAACCCCACAAAAAAAACAAACAAACACAGAAATGATTTTTGTTTTTATTATCACACTTAATTCACCTTGGATTACTTTGTTTCTTAAAAGTGCCATCTTTATAGCTTATATTTTGCCTAAAACAACAAACACTGTATACTCAGAATATTACTTTTTTTGTTGTTTTGTTTAAGTGATCTCTGAGCCCAACTCATGACCCCAAGATCAAGAGTCGCCTGCTCTGGGGCGCCTGGGTGGCTTATTTGGTTAAGCATCTGCCTCCAGCTCAGGTCATGATCTCAGGGTCCTGGGATCGAGCCCCGCATCAGGCTCCCTGCTCAGCGGGGAGTCTGCTTCTCCCCCTGCCTGTCACTCCCCCTGCTTGTGCTGTCTCTCTCTCTCTCTCTCTCTCTCTCTCACAAATAAGATCTTTAAAAAATAATACTATAATTCTTTCTCAATATAACATATAATCTTGATCTGGCATATAGTTTCTATATTAGATTATTCTTGTGTTCCCCCAGATCCTGCTTCTGGATTTTACTTAAAACTTCAGGAACTTTCAGGACGCCTGGGTGGCTCAGTTGGTTGGGTGTCTGCCTTCAGCTCAGGTCATGATCCCAGGGTCCTGGGATCGAGCCCTGTAACAGGCTCCCTGCTCAGTGGGAAGCCTGCTTCTCCCACTCCCCCTGCTTGTGTTCTGCCTCTTGCTGTGCCTCTCGCTGTGTCTCTCTCTGTCAAATAAATAAGTAAACTCTTTTAAAAAATAAATTCAGGAATTTTCATACTTCATAAAATATCTCATTTTTATAGTTTTGGTAGAATTCATGTCTATAGTAAACATTTCATTTGCAGATTACTCTTTCACAAGCTATTTAAGTGAACCTGGGTAATATCAACATTATAGTTTAAATTAGAATGCCTGATATAAGAATTTTGGAATTTTTAATACTTGGGAAAAAAGCATTTTTAAAATTATTCTCTGGGGCGTGTGGGTGGCTTAGTCGCTTAAGCGTCCGACTCTTGGTTTTCGCTCAGGTCATGATCTCAGGGTTGTGGGATCGAGCCCCATGTCGGGCTCCACGCTCAGCACAGAGCCTACTTGAGATTCTCTCTCCCTCTGCTCCTCTCCTCTCTAAAAATAAAAATAAAATTATTCTCTTAAATAGTAGTCAAATTTACTCCTAAAATCAAGTGGTAGGTTAAAGATGGCAGATTAAATACATATTACCTCGAATTCCTCCCAAAGCTTGCTCTTATAGTAAAGAAGCTAATTTTAAAAAGAAAAGAAAACAGAGACCCCAAGAGGGAAGTTAGGAGAGCAACAGCAACAAACTTCTGGAAGCTGGAAAGTACACGGGCCAGTGGTGGCTGGTTTAGGGATCTGAGGAAGTTAAAGCCTGGATGGGCCACGCGGAAGCTGGGAGGCAGCGTCCTCAGCACAGCTGGCCTCCAGAAAGCTCCAAGCACCGCCAAGAGTGGGGCTAACACGGCAGGGTGGGGCGCGGCTCTGCATTTAAACCTACAGGTCCCCTTCCAACTCCAGACGGCTGGGTCATTGCCCTCCTGCTGAGTGAAAAACTAGGTCCTACTCACCAAAGGGGTTAAAATGGGGGCTCTCGACACACAGACCATACGATCACAAGGACATTAAAAGAAAATCGGTCTGAAGAATTCAGACTCGTCAGGAGTTTGCCATTGTCAGTCCTAGAAAGGGATCATCAGACTTTTTCTGTAAAGGGCCAGGTAGTACGCATTTCTGGCTCTGCAGGCCACGTGGTCTCTCTTGGCTCCTCAGCTCTGAGAAAAGCCGTGGACAGCATGTGGGAAACACACACGTGTGCATGTGTTCCAATAAAACTTTATTGACAGAAACAGCTGCAGGTCCAGCAGGGCCCCAACTGCTGACCCTTGACCACTGTATTGATATTCCGTCCATCTTCTCTTAGAACTAAGAGGCTGTAGGTGCCCAGTTCACTCCTCTGGACATTTTTCAAGTCATCTGACAGAAGTCACACTTTTCACAGTAAATTCAGGGTCCGTGTTAGCAGTTCACACATACTGAAGCACACATAAACAGAGGCCAGCTGACTGTTCTGGGAAATATGAAGAAAGACATGGTGAGCCCCTGTTCTTAATTAAGGCATTACCAGTAGGCCCTGGTAACACTTCTGTGCTTATTGAAACCCAGTGATTCCTAAAAGTCAGGATTTTCAGTGTAAATGATTATGCAAGGTCATGAGGCTAGATTTCCCTGAGCAAACTGAAAGAATTAGGTTTTGTTGGTTGGTTTTTAATGTTTTGGCCAGGGAGGCAGCAGGAGGAATGGCAGGATCGCATTTTGTAATCTCTTCTCTTTTTTGGGTAACTTCTTGTCTTGATGCAATTTCACATTTGCACAAAAATTGCAAGAATAGTACAAGGATTTCCCATATATCTTTTATCCAGATCCCACAGTTATTTACCTGTTGTCCTGCTTGCTTTTATTCTTCTGTATATGTTTTATTTTTTCTGAACCATTTCAAAATAGTGGAGATACTGTGAACCTTTATTCTTAAATATTCTGATGTATTGCCTGAGAAAGGGCATTCTCTAACTGAGCCACAGCGCAGTTACCAAATCAGGAAATGTAACTTTGGTACGATGGCCTCTCTCACTGACAACCCGCATCAGATTTCACCACTGATCAGTGATACCCGTCCTAGCTGCTCTTTTTCTCAGCCCGGACCCCAGGCCACGGTCACGCTAGACTCTGTAACCTCCTTAATGTGGAATACTTCCTCGGCTTCCTTTGTGTAGCTTGATCTTCACTTTTGAAGAACATGGGTCCCTTATTTTGAGGAATATTCTTTCGAGTTTATCGAATGTTTCCAAAATGTTGTGTTTTTTGTTTCTTTTAAAATTGATTTTAATATGAAGATGTTCTTAGAAATCAGTATTATTTGGGAACATTTCTTCTTTTTACTGTGCTTGCCCCAAAATAAATATATACGGTCCATGAACCTTTAAAACGAAAGAAGAAAAATCAATCTGTTCTTGCCACTGCCCCCTTTCTCGGTGTCCCCGCCCTGCCCCTCTTGTCTCCCCCCGCCACTTTCCTGGCGCCCCCTCCCACCCCCACCCCTCTTGCCCTCTTCAGTCTTCAGTCGTGTCTATGGTATGTCGTGTATTACGACGCTGCCAGTTTTAACACGAGCTGTGAGCATGAGAGACGCGCCGTATGTGGTCAGTAGCATACTTTGTAAAATATTATGTTAGCACCTCAGGCTCAGGAGGGATTCAGCATGCGGCATATTTGAAAGCTGTAGAAACAGCCATTAAGAGTTTGAGTGACCAGGGGCTCCCGGCTGGCTCAGTCAGTGGAGTGAGCGCTCTCTGGGCCCTGGGTTCGAGGCCCACATTGGGTAGACATTATTAAAAAGAATAAATAAAACTTAAAAAAAAATAAAAAAGATTGCAGGAATGATCTGCTGAGAAGTAGAAAAATCACAAGCTATTAAAAAAAAAAAAAGTTTAAGTGACCAGCCTAAGGCCTGTGATCTTTCCAGTAGACCTCAAGACTCATCATGCCCTTACATTCTTGCTGCTAAAGTAATTTTTGGAAAGTAATTAAACCCACTTGGAGGGTGAAATATTTTGAAAATTGGGTCGGCACCACGCTTTCCTAACATGTGCCGTTGCTGCCCTGAGTCACTCTGAACGGTAGAAGCCGTCGGGCCGTCTCTCCTTCGTCTTGTCCTTCGAGTGTAACTTTGGGACAGAGGAAAGAGAATGGTTTTAATTTTATTGAAAACGTGGATTATCCCACTTGACTAACATAATCTCCCTATAGTAAAATTTAGAAATGTTACCTTTCCTAATGGAAGACCTGAGCAAAGGGAGAGAGAGACCTTTCACACCATTACCTCAAAGACCAAAATCAGTAAAGATAAGAATATGGTACAAGTTAGTTTACAGGTGCAGTTTATCAGTTCTAAGGACTAGAGCTGAGGCCCAGAGTGCCTAGGGAAGGTCCGGCCGCCATCCCAGCAAGAGGGTCAGGACCCGGGACGGTCAGGACTGTTTCTTCCCCACATACGTCATGCCTGTGCTTCCCCACTGCGATTACCCTTAAAGTGAAAAGGGGTCTCTCGCTACCCTTTGCTGATAGTGGGAGAGGGGGACCCGAGGAGACCTCATCCCAATCCATAGCAGGTTTAAGAGAAACAAAAGCTCCGAGGACAGAGCGCCTGGTCCCGGAGCAGGATGTCAGGTCAGGTCCCCGGGGCTTTGGGAAACCATCCGGCTGCAGTGAAGTGCGTTTGGGTCAGTTTCTGTAGCGGCTTGTACACCCTTTTCCTATCACCCATTTACACTGTCGCCCTGTGCTTTCCCTCAGAGCGAAAGCTGTGTTTTATTCATCCTAAGTCCTTAGCCCCAGCACCTGATACAGAAAATTTTAATAAATGTGCATGTGAGGCCGGTGAAGGATTATAACAAGCCCAAAGCTGTGTGGGACAGACGTCTTGTCACCAGTGGCCAGCACCTCGGTCCCATCACCCCGGAGGTCTTTACCAGGATCGCACAAGAAGTGGTGAGTCATTTTCTTTTAAACACAGTGGAAAGTGCTAATGAGACTCCTTGTTTTAGGTGATTGATGAGATTTATCGTGTGTTGAGATACGTCAATTCTACCAGAGCCCCTCAGCGAGCTCATGAAGTACTTCAAGAGTTAAGGGACATCTCCTCCATGGCGATGGAGTACTTTGATGAGAAGATCGTGCCCATTCTGAAGAGGAAGTTACCAGGATCAGATGTGTCCGGAAGACTCATGGGCTCTCCTCCAGGTACTCTTGTTGATGTGTTCAGTGTAAAGTAACATTCAGACACAGTTCCCTAACTTGTTCCCCGCCCCCACACTTAATCATACATCGAGCCCTTTTCTGTGTCTGTAAATAGTATCTGCAACATGATTTTTAAGGACACATTGATTACAGACCGTAACTTGTGTAACTGACCCACTGCTGTTAGGCACATTTGCAGTATTTACACTTTGAAGAACAATCCCCTGGCTACATCTTGTACATATCCATAACTATTGGCATACAATAAATGTATTAGAATTTCTGGGTAAAAAGCCACAAATATATATGTAGGGTTTTTTTGTTTGTTTGTTGATGTTTCTGACTAGTTAATATCCATTTTGCTAAAACAGAATTATAATATACCAGATAAAACCCAAAAACTTCTTCATGGAATATTCACTTAATTATTTCAGCCCCTAGAGGGTCTGGCCGCTACTTGAAAAGACAGGGTACATAAGGCTGCTTTGAACCCTATCACTGCTTCTGTGGTAGCTCTTTTGCAAAAGTATATCTGATCCGAGGGGCACCTGGGTGGCTCAGTCAGTTGGGCGTCTGCATTTTGGCTCGGGTCATGGTCCCAGCGTCCTGGGATCGAGCCCTGCATCAGGCTCCTTGCTCCGCGGGAAGCCTGCTTCTCCCTCTCCTCCCTGCTTGTACTCTCTCACTGTCTCTCCTTCTCTCTCTCTCTCAAATAAATAAATAAAATCTTAAAAAAAAAAAAAGTACATCCAATCTGAGAGATTTGTGCCCAAATTGGTCAAAATATCTTCAACCTTTGCAAATACTTTACATCAGAAAACCTTTTTTAGTAAGACATTTTGTTCTGTTTGGATGAGTTAGCTCCCTAGAAGTGCTCAGTGGGGTGACCGAGTGGCTGTCTGTAATTGAATCATAAAGCCTGTAGCATCTCAGCATTCATACATTAGTAATTTATTATTATGGATGTGTTAGTGGAAATTAGATGAAGGTACGCAGAGAGAGAAGGAACAATGCGTCAGTCCAGGAAAATATTTATATGTATGTACAAGGAGATTGTTAGGACGGGTTTAGGGTAGGAATGGATCCATTTAGTCCTTTTAGAAAACCTTTAAGAGATAACATTTTTTAGGGTGCCTGGGTGGCTCAGTCGTTTAGCGTCTGCCTTCAGCTCAGGTCATGATCCCAGGGTCCTGGGATCGAGCCCCGCATCGGGCTCCCTGCTCGGCGGGAAGCCTGCTTCTCCCTCTGCCACTCCCCCTGCTTGTGTTCCCTTTCTTGCTGTGTCTCTGTCAAATGAATTAAATCTTAAAAAAATTATTTAAAAAAGGAGAGATAACATTTTTTAAAAAGGGCGTTATTGGTTTGTGATAGTGATTTTTATGCCGATGTTAACTTGTAGTATTCCTAAAACAGAATGATTCCAAAGCCGTCTTGCATCACCTCAGAACCTCTTCACGATCATTGTGTGTGATGTAACCCACTTTTTGATGGTATCCGTGTTTGGCTAACGTGGAAGCTCTTGTATAGAATTAAGTGCAGAGAGAACTTAAAAACATGATAGACCTGTACTTCTAACTCGAATGTTTACAGTTGCTCGTGTGAAAGAAGATAGAAAATAGTTCTATTCTAGTTTTACTACTTGTGTTTTCTTAGTAAGTCTTAAAAATGTTCTCCAGTATTTTAGCACAAGTTGATGCCGCTAAATGCCCCTCTCCATTTCCTGGCGATCCACCCATTGCCACATGAACCCAAGCATTGGAATTCAGGCTCATTTACCGTTAAGACTGGGGTGTCTGATTAATCCATTCAACCAAGTAGATTGCCAAGAGAACATTATTGGAAGTGATATTAGAAGGATATTCCGTTTCAAAAGAAGTTTAATGAAGTATTACCAATGATGAGACATTTTAAGTGATTAATGACCATTTAAAACCATTTCTCCGCAGTTCCGGGACCTTCTGCAGCCCTCACAACAATGCAGCTCTTCTCCAAGCAAAACCCTTCACGACAAGAGGTAACCAAACTCCAGCAGCAGGTTAAGACAAACGGTGCCGGTGTGACTGTTCTCAGGCGTGAAATTTCCGAGCTTCGCACCAAAGTGCAGGAACAGCAGAAGCAGCTTCAAGACCAGGACCAGAAACTGCTAGAGCAGACCCAGATCATAGGCGAACAGAACGCGCGGTTGGCGGAGCTGGAGCGCAAACTGCGGGAAGTCATGGAGAGCGCGGTGGGAAACTCCTCAGGGGCTGGGCAGAACGAAGAGTCTCCTCGGAAACGGAAAAAGGCAGCTGAAGCCATAGACTCCCTTAGGAAATCTAAGCGTCTCCGGAATAGAAAGTAAAGTGGGGGCGGGTCCTGGCTCCAGAGGAAGACGTGGCTGAAGCAGTTACGTACCTCAGGACGCCCCGGAGGCTTCTGGTCTTTCAGAAAGAACACAACTTCAGCTTGAACTCTCACGGTTGGGACAGTCTTCTCCCGCTTCTCCTGGTTGAACTGATGCACAGAACCTTTTTACTTTGCAATAGATTTGTACTAACCAGACCTGTCCTATCATGTTTTGAGGAGTTAACTTTTTTTCTGTGCAGATAATGTTTAAAGTAAGTTTATTTGTTCTTGCATATATGCACATTACAGAAGGATCTAAACAAACCAGTCTGGACAGACTAGAAGTTAAGTTGAATACAGAAAATGTCCTGTTTCACTTGAAAGAAAAGACCTACTTTTTAAATGGACAGTATCTTGTTTTAAAAAAAAAAAAAAAAAAAAGAAAAAGTTGACTTTTTGTTATAAGTGACCTTTGTCTGGAATGTCTGAAAAGTAGTAAATGCTTTTTGGTATCGAAGTAATGGGTAACTAAAACGGACTTCCATAGTGTTGACTATAGGAGGGGCCTCTACAGTATTGACTATATATTTTTATAAACTACTGGCAAGGGACTTATCCAGTTGTTCTACACATGTTTTCAGTTCTCTTCTGGGACCACGCCCTGCATTTGCATGGATGCATGCACGCATCGCCTAGTCAGCTCACGTAAAAAGCTCTTGCACTGGTATTGACCTTGAACCTCTCTACTTCTCCACTTTCTAGAGCAGCGTTAGTTTATTTGAGCACCTACCATCTTCCACCACCACAACAGCTTGCCTCCAGGGAAGAATTAGTCAGTCCATTTGTCCTCCGGTTTTAGGGGAATGAGGGAGCATCAAAGCCCATCGCTTTCTCTGTTCTCTCTAGGGTTCAGGTGCAGTGGCCAAGGCAGAACCCCAAACTCCAAGGCTCTGTCAGTGTTGGACCTCTGGGGACTGGTAGTGGCCCTTACTCACCACCGTGTGTGTTCGTGGATCAGTGTGGTGATCACCACGGGTGTGAGCAGGGGACCCAGCTTGTGGGATACAGTTTTGCCATTGAAAGAAAGCTCATTGAAGAACATCCTACTATGAAAAAGCATTTTCATCATTTCATTTCTGGGAGATGACCTGAGGGAAGCTTTTAAATATTAATTTCAAGCTTTCCTTATCCTACAACTTTAAACAAAAGCTTTAATTTCGTTTGCACTCCTGTTTTGAGCGTGTAACTGGAAAAGCATGTCTTGCACTGTTCACACTGCTAAGCGGTCACTTTAACAACCTCCAAATTGTGTACAGTGGTTTCTTTCCCCACTTGTATATTTTTGAGACCTTCAACTATTACTGTCCTCGTTTTATGTTAATGTACTAAATTATGTAGTTATTATTTGACTGATAAGTTCTTTTATCAACTCTCAACAACTGTTGCCTTGGGCTTCAGTTCTTTAAAATAGTTTTAGGTGTAATATAGAAAATTATCCCTGTCCAGGTGGGAGTTTGACACCTGCATAAAACCTAAGGTTTTGGTAAGTACCTTAGTTGAATAAAAGCACAAAGTTACCGCCCTTTTCACCCGTCCACCATGACACGGTTATGCATCCTTTAACCTCACCAAACGAAACTTTTTCTTACCCATTTTTAAGATTGTCCTTCCATAATACTGTCCTTAGATTTTGATCAATTTTCTGTCTGACTTGGAAACTCCATTTACAATGTAGTACGTTTTCAATGAAAAAACAAAAAAAAATACCATATAACATCCAAGTGTTTCATGGTTTGTTGGGAAGGTAATTTTAAAATAAACAATTTCCAAAAAACATTTGTCAGCCAAGGTCATCCATAAAAGTCCCCGTCTGGAACTCGTTTTCTCGGCAGGTGTCATTTTTGTAATCCTAGGATTTAGCCATATTGTCCTAACTCTGGAGCAGGCCTACTGGAATACTCATGGCTGTGAATAGTCTGCCTTCCCGGTAATAGGAAGACTCTATTAACCAGGTAACATGTTTACAGGTTTACAAAGTAGGATCCTTACGCATCAAAGGGATACAACCTCAGATGATGAGCAGTTGTTCATGAACTATTTAAAGTCCCTGGGTTTCTTTTTAAACTACACCTAGACACCCTAAATGTATGTAGAATCTTCCATTAGTTAGCATGAGTATTTGGCTTTCACAGGAAGCATCCACACTATCAGAAGGTAGATTTTCTGTTTCAAAATCCACACTTACACAGGATTCGCTCGTAACTGTCCAGAAGGCCCCTGAGTTGCACTTGTTAATGCACGAATGTTCCAGAAGAGTAGGAGAAGAAAGCACTACAGTTCAGTTGTCTGCTTAAGTCTTAAATCTGACTTAAGACATCTCGCTAAAAACACGTTAGGCTGTGGCCTTGACTGATTTGATAGCTGTTACACTTGCTTTGGGATAGCATAGTGGCATTTAGGGTTCGACGGATCACAAATTTGCATCCGCTAAAACCGACATGCCACGGGAAGGTTGCAGACTAGCCTCCCGAATGGGAAGAGTCTTGCCCTTGCCTGGGGTTAGACACCGGTGGCTTCAGCGCCAGATGGGAGCGTCATGTTGTCCTGGAACGAGATGCCATGAGTTCCTTGGGTCCTCTTCCTTGGCTGTTTCTCAGAGGAGGCTTCTCTGTGTCAGCGGGTCACTCCCACTAGTGACTCGATTATGGCGCAGCGCCCGTGACACAGACCCGAGGGGAAGAGGCGTCAGGAACGACGGGGACTTGCCCCCGCCTCACCCACCCAGGGCCCCCCACGTCTCTCCCACATGGACTCGGCTCGGTTTTCACATAATCGAAATACGGATTCTTTCAGGACGTGAGGTTACAGAACCTGCTGCTTTTCAAGCTCCTTTGTCGCTGTGCAGAGCCTGGAAGTGCCGAGGCAGACGCAGACGGAGCACCAGTAATGCATCAGACTGCTTTAAAGACTGTCGGGCTGCCATCTGGTCTAAAGCCACTGGTTTTAGAAGCAGCTTTGTTTTTGTTTTTGTTTTTTGGTAAGACGTGTTTTTTGGAATACTGAACTTTACAGGGGCTTGCCTTAATCTCTATTTAGTAGTTTCAAGGTGTTATGCGCTATTATTCTACTTGTTAAAATGTTGAAATATTCTATGTAGCCCCGAAGGTGGGTAAAACAGTATGAGTCATGCCTAAATAAATAAGCTAAAGGTGTCACTCTAGCTGGATTTTTTTGTTTGTTTGTTTTAGAAAAGATGGACGTATGAACAGAGGCTATGTGTAAGAAGCAAAAACCATGGCACCTTGAGATTGCACTATTTTATGCATTGTTTTCTATGCCATTTCATAGCCTGCACTTTAATCTCCAAAGAAACAATGTATGATGTCCCAGTTCCTGATCAATAGGAAACTGTTTCCTAAGACAGGGGACTTAATTCTGTTTTACTGAGAGTTTCTTGGAGGTGGATCCCTTTCCTGAGTTCTCTATTTCCTTAGCCATTAATATTTTCTAGGATCTAGGAACTCCTGATCTTGTATGTTTCCAACAGTATAGAATTTTAATTTAATGTAACGTAAAATCTCATCCTTGGCGATCAGCACATTCTTACATGCTGCCCTAGCAGTGAGTACCCATTTGTTACAGAGCCCTCTCGAAATATCATGTAAGTACGATCTGAAGCCGGGAATAGAGGCATTCTTAAAAGTAAACGTCCCGTATGATGCAGGCTCTCAGAACCGGCTATTTCTAATAGAGAACACATAAGGTCCGATCTGATAATGCCGTCCAGTTTCTTGAGACCTGAGTCCCTTTAGTCCACGAAAGGTTATGAAGTTAAAACTCCTCGGAAATAACAAGCTTCTGTAGCCCGCTATCTGAGGTCAATTCTTTTCAAAAAATACTAAAGCAATCTAAAAAATGAAACTAGCACTCGGTTGACTGCTGCCCACCATTTTCTTTTTAGTAGCAGTACTTTATGTTCGTGGTAAGTATAGCTTAAGTAATGTTGGCCTTTTCCAGCTTCCGAAGAATCTTTGTTAAATTCCTAAAATTCAAAAGTTAAATCCAAACTTAACTTGTGTCTGAAGAGAACCATGGGATTTAGAAGCATATTGGAAATCTATGAGGTCCATTGCCAAAGTATACTGGTCCATATTCAAAACTATACCAAAAGTTTAGAAGTGTTTTTAAAATTCCTTCATGTGGTACCATGTCTGTTTACTTATGCTCATGAGCACCAATAAATTACTAGTTTGCCTTCTGGAATTTCAATTGTTATAACCTAATTGAATTATTGAAAGTGAAAAGCACCTCCCGCTCACACAACAGGGTACGTGAATAAATGTGTTGTAACCAGTGCTACTTGTTTTCTTTGTATTTCCTGCACAAAAGATGGCGGAGCTCCGCCTCTAACAAACGCTGTGTTGCTAGCTACCACCACCGGAAGCATCTGCTGTGTGTGTTTTCCATCTGTTCTTCCAGCCTTCCCAGCCGCCTGGTGGAGCAGGTGCGCCCCATCTAGGGAACTTAAACACCGGTTGAGCAGCTTATCTATGGTATTAGACACCAAGTGCCCAAGTGGCATTTGAACACAGACCTGCCTGCCTCCAAAGCTCACGTGCTTCCCACTACGCTGTACTACATTCTGAACCAGCTGGGAGCTTCGAGACTCTAGATTACATTAATTCTAAGTTCAATATACATATAAATATACATATAGATGAACATTCCATACATCTACTAGGAGCAGTCAATGACAAAATTGCTAATGTTGAGTAACATATAGAACTTAATAGCACAAAAAGGCAGCCCTTGAAGAAGGCAACTTTTGTCCTGAAGTTTTTTGGCAATGGATTCACCCTAAGCATGCAGGTAAAACATTTTTAAGGCTTCTAGGACCTGTAATCCTATATGAGGCAGTCCTAACAGTAGACGGGGTCCAAGGCCACTAATACGAATCCAGAGTTGCCTTCCTATAATATATGTTGCCAGTCAATTCAAAAGATCACCACTGGTTCTTTTGCCCTGTCAGGACAAATACCAGTTCACTTTTCAAAATTCCCTCCAGCTCTAAAATAAATGTTTAGAATTTCAGTGAAATGAAAACATACAAGTCAATCTCACAAATTGGACTTCGTGAAAATGTAAAAGTTCTGTGCATCGGAAGACACTATCAGAGTTAAAAGACAACCCACAAAATGGGAGTAATTATTTGCAAATCATGTATCTGATAAATGGTTAATATCCGCAACGTTTAGAGAACTCTTAAATCTCAGCCGTGAAAAACAACCCGATTTAAAACTGTGTGAGGACTAAGACATTTCTCCAAAGGATATAATCAAATGGCCAAAGAAAGATGCTTATCACCACCCATCAGGGAAATGCAAATCAAAGCTACAATGAGAGACCACCTCCTGTCCATTATGATGGCTACTATATTTATTTATTTTTTTTAAAGATTTTATTTATTTATTTGAGAGAGAGAGAATGAGAGAGAGGGAGCACGAGAGGGAAGAGGGTCAGAGGGAGAAGCAGACTCCCTGCTGAGCAGGAAGCCCGATGTGGGACTCGATCCCGGGACTCCAGGATCATGACCTGAGCCGAAGGCAGTCGCTTAACCAACTGAGCCACCCAGGCGCCCGATGGCTACTATATTTAAAAAACAAAACAAAAAACCAGAAAGTAACAGTATGGGTGAGGATGTAGAGATACTGGAACTATCCTTCCCTGTTGGCGGGCAGGTAAAATGGTACAACTGTGTAAAACGGTGTGGTGAGTCCTCAAAAAATTAAAAATCGGAGCTTCTGGGTGGTGAACCCGTGGAGATGTGGGGAGTGTCACGTGCCTGGAGAGGACACGAAGTTCCAAGCCCCTCTCCCCCACCTCACCCTGTGCATCAGTTCCATCTGGCTGTTGATTCCGATCCTTCATCATATCCTTTAACAACACTAAAAAAATCATAGAATTACTACACGATCCTGCAGTTCCAATTCTGGGTATATAAAAGAACTAGAAAGCAGGGTCTTGAAGAGATATGTGTACATACACCATGTTCACAGAAGCTATTCACAATGGCTAAAATGTAGAAACAACCCAAGCGTCCACCGACAGATGAGTGCAGAAGCAAAATGTGGGGTGTGCGTACCATGGAAGATACTCAGCCTTCAAAAGCAAGGAGACTGACACCTGCTACAACATGAATGAACCTCGAGGGTGTCCTACTCAGTGAAATAAGCCAGTCACATAAAGACAAGCACTGAGATTCCACTTATGTAACATACGTGGATCAGTCACAGTCACAGGCACGGGAAGTAAGAAGATGGCTGCCAGGGACTCGGGAGAGGGGTGAGGGGCAGAGTTTCAGTTTCGCAAGAGGGAAACGGTCCAGAAAGTGGCTGGTGGTGATGTTTGACAGCTACAGATTTCCCTCTAAGTACTGACTGGCTGTGTCCCACCACTTTTCGTGTACTGTGTCTTCATTCCCATTCATCTCAAAGCATTTTCTGATTTTCCTTGTGACTTTGTCTTTGACTCATTGGTTATTTAGGACTGTGTTGGTTAATTCCCATATATACGTGAGTTCCCCAAATTTCTTTCCATTTTTGACTTCATTTCTCATTCCACTGTAGTCAGGAAACGTACCTTGTATCATTGCAATCCTTTTCACTTTTCAAAGCTTGGTTTCTGACCTAGAAGGGGAGCATCTGAGAGGATGTTCAGAGAAGAATAGGTCTTCTGCTGCTCTTGTGTAGAGTTTTCTATACATAGTTTTTAGGTCTAGGGGGTTCGCAGTGTTTCCAAGTCTTCTATTCCCATGTGGATCACAACTAGTTGTTCTCTTGTTCTCTCCATTACTGGAGAGTGGGTATTCAAATCTCCAGCTATGACGGTTGAATTGTCTACTTGTCCCCGCAGTTCAGTTTTGCTATCATTATAAAACGACCTCCATTATCGCTGTGTTGAAAGCCTATTGCATCTGATACTTGCAAAACCACTCCAGCTTTCTGATTGTTGCTGTTTGCATGACATCTCTTGTCCCGTTATTTTATTTTCAAGTTATCTGCATCTCTGAAACTGAAGGGTCTCTCCTGTAGTCACTATATACAGACAGTCCCCAACTTTACGATGGTTTGTCTAACAATTTTTCGACGTTACAATGGTGCGAAAGTGATATGTACTCAGTAGAAACCATACTTTGAATTTTTATTTTCTCCTGTGTGAGACAACACTGTCTTGCGATGCTGGGCAAGTCACAGCCTCCTGTCAGCCATGTGATCACGGGGGTAAACAACTGATACCCTTCAACCATTCTGCTTTTCACTTTCAGTACAGTATAGTCAATAAACTGTGTGACATATTCAACACTTTTATTATAAAATAGGCCTTGTGTTAGGTAGTTCTGCCCAACTATAGTGTTCTGAGTGCATTTAAAGGGCGCACGGGGGACACCTGGGTGGCTCTGTCAGTTAAGCGTCTGCCTTCAGCTCAGGTCATATCCCGGGGTCCTGGGATCACGCCCCGCATTGGGCTCCCTGCTCAGCAGGAAGCCTGCTTCTCCCTCTGGCCTGCTGCTTCCCCTGCTATGCTTTCTCTCTCTCTCTCTGACAAATAAATTTTAAAGGATGCACGGCAAAGCTATGATGGTCTGTAGGTTAGGTGTGTTAAATGTAATTTTTTAAAATCATTTTTTAGAGTAATCTCTACACACAATGTGGGGCCTGAACCTATAACCCTGTGATCAAGAGTTGCACGCTCTGCCAACTAAGCCAGCCAGGTGCCCCTAAATGCATTTTGATTTATGGTTCATATTTTTAACTTACCAGGGTTTATCAGGACATAACCCCATCAGAAGTCAAGGAAGATCTGTATTTGGAGCTTATATTTTTATCTAGTCTGTCAATCTCTGCCTTTTGACTAGATTCCTTAATCCATTCACATTTAATGTTATTGTCGATATAGCTGGATTTATCTTTGCTATTTTACTTTTTGTTTCTTATATGTCTCGTCTTTTCCCCCTCTATTCCTCCTTACTGATTTCTTTTGTGTTTAGTGAATATTTCCTTGTGTAAAATTTTAATTCCTTTAATGATTTTTTTCACTACATGTTTTTGTTATGTTCATAGTGCTTGCTCTAGGGGTTTACTATATACATCTTTTAACTTATCAGGATAGTTCAAGATTATTCTAACCTAATTTCAGTGACATATAGAAATGTTACTCCTATAAATATTACTTCCGTTTCCTTTCCCTCTGCTTTGTGCTATTATCATTAAACATATTACATCTGTGTATGGCACAAGTCCCAAATACACTGTTATAATTGTTACTTTATGTAATCTTGTGCTTCAGGAAGAAACTGAGAGGAGAGGGACTATATATGGAGTTTGTTATACTCGCCTTATTTTTTTTTTAAGATTTTATTTATTTATTTGACAGAGAGACACAGCAAGAGAGGGAACACAAGCAGGGGGAGTGGGAGAGGGAGAAGCAGACTTCCCGCGGAGCAGGGAGCTTGATGCGGGGCTTGATCCCAGGACCCCGGGACCATGACCTGAGCCAAAGGCAGACGCTTAATGACTGAGCCACCCAGGTGCCCCTATATTCACCTTATTTACCATTTTCATTTCTTTTCATTTGTTCCTGTGGATTTGAGTTACCATCTGGTGTCATTTCCTTGATCCAAGGCAGCTTTGCTCTTATCACCTGGGCTGTTATTGTTATTTATATTTGTATATGCTATCAGGCCAGCAATACAATTATATACATATTGCTTTCTACAAGTGCTTTTTTTTTTAAAGATTTTATTTATTTATTTGACAGAGACAGAGATAGCAAGAGCAGGAACACAAGCAGTGGGAGTGGGAGAGGGAGAGCAGGCTTCCCTCCAAGGAGGGAGCCCGATGTGGGACTCGATCCCAGGACCCTGGGGTCATGACCTGAGCTGAAGGCAGACGCTTAACGACTGAGCCAGCCAGGCGCCCTACAATTGCTTTTTAAATCAGTTAAGAAAGTAGAAGAAATAGGTGTTTATGCTAGCTTTTATAAGTACTTAACTTTATTGGTGCTCTTTACCTTTTCATGTGGACCTGAGTTATCTTCCGTGGTCACTTGCTCTCAGCATGAAGAACCTCCTGTAGTATTTCTTACCAAATGGCTCTTTGAGTAACACATTCTCTTGGTTTATGTTTATTTGGAAATGTTACCTTCATATTTGAAAGATAGTTTTGCACGGTGCACCTGGGTGGCTCAGATGGTTAAGCATCTGCCTTCAGCTCAGGTCGTGATCTCCAGGTCCTGGGATCGAGCCTCGTGTTGGGCTCCCAGCTCAGCAGAGAGTCTGCTTCTCCCTCTGCTTCTC